GTAGCCACCGTCAAGGCCTTCTTGCACCTTAGTGCAGGTCGTGTCGCTTTCGACCTGCACCACACATCCGCAACAGCAAGAGCGACAATGTCGCTCTTGCTGTTGCGGATCTTCCATGGGGCAGTCGGTCCTGCTTGTAGGTCTCGAGGAATACGTTGACCTTTCGTGTCAGAGACATCACCACCCACCGTGTTTAAGAAGTGTCTGTCACTTAAGTGCAAGCACCGAACAGGCCGCCCAGCACAGGGGGGTTGGGGGGGGTGGGTGGGTTTCTCGGTGGGTGGTTGATGGATGGGTGGGGCGGTTAGGTGGCTGGGTGACGGTGGGTGGGTGTGAATCAGGGGTGCGGGAATTGGTTGGGGGACCGGTTCGTGGTGGGTGGTTTGGGGGGGGAGGCGGGGTTGTCATGCAGGAATGGTCCCTGATGCATGCGACTTTTTCCGATGCTGCTCTTGGCTTCATGACCCATCCAGTCAGAAGTCCTAAGTCTTTCTAGGAACTTCACACGGCCACCGGGCCCATGCCCCTGTGCCGCCGCATCAACCATGGAGTTCGTCGTGTTCTTGAAACTGTAAGCGGATTCAGAATCACTAGATGTCAGATTGTTTTGGTTAAGACTCGAATCCATGGGGATGTCACGATCAGAGCCATCAGCTACGTTATGAAATCCGTTATTCCGTCTCACTGCTTACTGCGATAATCCGTCCTGTCGGATCTGGGCGAGCGGGATCGCTTTCCTTCCCGATCGAAGTCAGAGTCGGACTCGTCACTACCTGGAACGTGCGAAGTTGGGGTCGCACAAGGTTGCGGTGATGAAACCAAGGCTCGGGCTGCGTGCGGGAGAGGTCGGGGTGAAAACGACCGTCGGGGACGTGGGATGCAAACTCTCCTGTCAGAGATGCGCATTTCACTGACTGAACAACTGACAAATGAACTGTCGGGCCAAGCCTTACTGTCCTTGAGCTTCTCTTCGTTGTCTTGCTGCGCCGAGCTCGCGGGTTCCTGCAAGCGGAGTCGTAGCCGGAGCCGCAGGACCTCATCCTCTTTCCTTGCCAGTGTCTGTCTCCAAAGCCCCGTTGCAGTGAGGACTTTCTCTTTGTACTTGACCTGTGCATCCTCGAGCCTCTTCAACCTGCTCTTGAACTTGTTTGTCATGTCCGTCTGGGCTTTGGAAACCTTCTCGTCGAACTTTTTCTTGTTCTCTTCTTTCTCTTTCGCCATCTGTGCCTGGTGCTCGGCGTTCATCTCTTTGATTTTGTTCTCATACATGGCAGTCAGTACCTTCATCTCCTTCTGGCTATCCTCGAACTTGTACCTGTACGTATCTTCCGTGATGGACAGCCTCTTAGCCCTTTCCTGGTTGTTTCTCTCATGCGTGTTCTCCAGTTCGTCCAGCATGTCCTCGCCTTTCTTCTTTACAGCTGCCAGTTCGGCCTCGTGCTTCTTATTGTCGTCCGCAATCTTCGTCTCGTACATTTTCTTCGTCCAAATCGCTTCCTTCTCAACCTCCCTCAAGCGATCGATTTCCATGCGGTCCTTGTTATGCGTCAAGATGGCGAGCTTGTTGATAGCCGAATCCTGCTTCTCCGTGAGCTCCACCTCATTCTTCCATTGGTTGTACATCTGTTGCAACCTTCTGTTGCAGAGGCGCCTGATACCGCTGAAGTCATTGGCTGAGTGCTGCTTGTTCTTCTCAGCTTTCTTCCACTCAACTTTCCATTCATCCGGAAGGGGTCGGAGTTCCTTTGTGAAGCCTTGCTTCGTTGGGTCCGTCTCTGTGTCGTCGTGGCTTCCTGCAGGGTTTTGGTGGCTTCCTGCAGGGTTTTGACTTCGACGCCAAGCCGCCCATTCCGCGTCGGTGTACACTTGCTCAGTCATGGCGCTAGTGGCGCCAAGAAAAAACGGTGCGATTTCCTTGAATCTTGAGATGAAAAGCTGCTGCAGTCCAACATGTTGAGCTTGGAAGCAACCGACGGTGCAGCAGTCAAGTCTTGGTGTGGCTTAGGCCGGGGCTCTTCGAGGATCTCGATGCGCAGACTGTCTCAGCCTGGTTGGCCGGCGACAGACGGAAAGTGAGCAGAGAGATACTGAATCCATGCATGACTTTCCTGCCTCTTCCTTCCCTCACATCACTCCTTGCTGCCTGCTCATTCCTCGCATCTACAGTCACACCCTCATCTTGATCATTCCTTCTTCCTTCCCTGCTTCCTTCCCTGCTTCCTTCCTTCCTTCCTTGCTTCCTTCCTTGCTTCGTTAATTATTTTCGCTGTCTCTCTCTCTCTCTCTCTCTCTCTTTCTTTCTCTCTGCATCTGTCTTTGAGGATCCGGCTCACCCCTGCTCGGGGTTCATCCTCACCCCTGTTCGGGGTTCATCCACACCCCTGCATGGGGTTCTCACGACCCCTGTTCAGGGTCCAGGCTCACCCTTTTCGGGGTTCATCGGACGCCCCTGTGCGGGGCTCTAACGACCCCTGTTCGGGGTCCAAGCTCACCCCTGTTCGGGGTTCATCCACACCCCTGCACGGGGTTCTCACGACCCCTGTTCGGGGTCCAGGCTCACCCCTTTTCGGGGTTCATCCACACCCCTGTACGGGGCTCCGACGACCCCTGTTCGGGGTCCAAGCTCACCCCTATTCGGGGTTCATCCCGCAGCCCCTTCAAGGGCTTGGTGCGGGTACGCCCCTGCACGGGGCTCCGAAGACCTCTGATGTGGCGACCTGACATCCTGACAGAGCCTGCGCGAATGCCTAATTACAACTACTTTTGCCTGCTACCTTTAAACTTCTTTCCTGATCAATGCCTCCTTACCTACATGCCCGCCTACCTAGCTATCTAGAGACCTGGAAGCCTGCCGGTGCACCTAGACCTACAAGTACCTCCCTCCTGCCTATCTACTTATCTATACCTACCTGCAGGAGTGGGTGGGCGGGTTTGGGGGTTGGGTGGGATTACAGTTTAGGGTCCAGGGTTTAGGGCATGAGCTGGACGTTACGAAAGCTTAGATTCCCTTCATGTTTAATCATGAACACACACACACTAATTTTCAAGTCGTTGTGAATCGTACAAAAAGCTGACTTTAGGGTTTCAGAACACAAAATCTCAAGCTTCTTGTTTTCGTTGAGCCACAAGAACACCAAGTTGCATTTGTTTGGTTTGCTCGGCACAAACGAATCTTCAAAATAACTTCAAAAATATCTTGCAACAAAGAAATTCCATGTGAACTACAAAACTTGGGACAGGCAATTATGTCAGTATGGCTTTGATTTTTCGATGTACATGTTTTCACATTTCGAACAAACCAAGTTTTTCAGGCATTGATTTTTCTATTGAGCCACAAGCACACATCTTTTTATACATGTCCAGCATCTCGCTCTTTCCATAGAGCCACAAGAACACACATGACGTAGGCCCAATGTTGCTGCAGTAGTTGCATTTGTTTTCCGTCCTGCCCCCCCCCCTTCAGCACGACATCAGACATGTTGCTTTACGTGTCCTATATACACGTGTTCTGACATGTCCATCATGTCAGCAACAAGTGTCCTATATACACGTGTTCTTACATGTCCATCACACGTGTTCTTGCATGTCCATCATGTCAGCAACACGTGTCCTATATACACGTGTTCTTACATGTCCATCATGTCAGCAACACATGTCCTATATACACGTGTTCTTACATGTCACTCATGTCAGCAACATAAATCCTAGGACCCGGTTCCATAACGGAAAGGACCCGGTTAGCCCCGGACAGGCATATATACCCCCCAACACCCTACTCTAATTATTACGACCCCTCGATTAGGGCTTGGGAACTGAAGCTGGGATCCAGGCTCCAGCGTAAACCCCGCAACTTAGGGGTACTTAGAAATAGTCTTTAATTTTGGTTTATTATGGCTAAAAATATAATTTTTGCTAGGGTTCTAAGTTCAGTATAGACAAGCCCAGCTCTTTGGCCTGGGTCGTGGAGTTGAAATCCAGACTCCAACCTCTACATGTACCGCAAACCCGACAAACCCGTAACCCTACACCCCTAAACCCCTAAACTCTAAACCCTAAGATTTCAAACCTTGGGGTTCTGAGTCGAAGTTTCAGACTTTTGAGCTTTTAGGAGGCATTTTACTTGGAGCTTCCTGGGAGTACTGTAGTAAGCACGGCATAAATGTAATTTCCATTTTATTCCTTAACCTGCCAGAACCAACTTTCTTGTAGGGTCCCCATAAATTCCATACTAGGTTTCTAATAAGAACCTACCAAAAAAGTAGGGTTTGGTAAGGGTAGGTTAAGGTAGTTACCTTTTTTTATGTCCAAGCCCAATGGTCCCAACCCCCTCAAAACATCCCTTAAAGATCCCTTTTCAAGAGCCCTTTGATGGAACTGAGCCCCCATGATCCTTGAAGCATTGAGACCTTACAGATCCCCTTTCAAGAGCCCCTTAATGGAACCCTTTAGGTGACTCAGTCCCCAAGATCCTTGAAGTAAATGAGTAGACGCCCCGGCCCATGGGTTTGGAGAACCCAGGTCTATGAAGCCAAGCTCACGCCTACTTAATGGATCATGGGACTTAGTAAGTAGGTTATATTTGGGGTTATAAGTCCCCTAAGTGGGGTTACCCTAATTATAACCTACTTATAACATTACTCACTAAGTCCCATGATCCTTTAAGTACTTAGGGGCCTAGATGAGTCAAAAAAAGAGTCGGAACTGTGACAAAATGCTAGTACTCTGTATGCTCTTCCTCAGGGTTCGTTACTCTTCCGGAACCATGCCAAGGGTTGAGGCTCCTATATCGTTAGACGTTCCAAGGTTGGTGCTAGTGTTTCCCGACGATTCACTGAGCCTTCCCAGACCCCTCCTTTCTCCTTAGGGCCTTAGGACCGCAGAACAAGAAGTTAAGGTAATACAAGTAGTGATAGTAACGCTTTTATCGACCGGCCCCAAAAAAATCAAGGCGTGCATGTTAAGCCCAAGAGATTGCAAGTGACGGTCCCGACATGTCGGAGGATTACAACTGCACCTGGATGTCGGGAACATCTGCAGCTGCTATACGTGAGAGCTCCATCGTAGTCTCCACATTTACACACGCACCGCGGCCGAAGTTTACGCGCCCGGAATTCAACTAGCCGGTGCTGTTGTCTTGCAAGAATACCAGAGATGAAAGCCATGCATTCTGTACTTTGTTCCATCATGGTTTGGTTTTGTGCCAGGCGTACCTACAACCTGTTTGCACATATGTAAAGTCTTCCCATGTTTCCCACTGCCATCTGTGACACTTCCCATCACTGCCGTAGCGGCCATCTACTTCTCGTGAGGCAGTCGACTGCAGCCGTGTGATACAAGCTCAGCAGTCTTATGATTGCTTCAGTTCTAAACTTGCTCGGTTCGTTCTGAGATATGTCTACTGCTCTTAAGGTTGCTCTGTTGTTTGACGGTCCTGCTGTCGACTAGTTTTTTTCTGGTTATTGTCTTCAGTGTAAAGTTTAAGTTGATGCTACTTGGAGGTTCATGGGTAGTTATACGTGGGGTTATAATTAGGGGTAGGCATATTATAATACCCTTATTCGGGGACTAACAACCCCACTTGTAACCGCCCATGAACCTCCAAGTAGATGCGAGGAGCCTGAGCCAGTGCTGCGCTTGGTCGTTCAATGTCGGCCTCCCCATCCCCCTCATCATGTTCCTTGATGTCATCACGGAAGCCCTCCCCTCCTCATCATCGTCGGTATGCTGCAGTAATGCCGGCAATGGTCCAGGTGATTACCACCGTTTTCATCCGCAGTGACCGTCATCGCCACCGTGTCGGATGTTACAGGCTACATATTCATTTTCATCCTTCGCCGCTCTCGGACCCATTGCCACGACAGTGGGCCCTGCCACCACCCTGATATCATCATGCGTCTTTCTGCGTGCATTTCATCGAATCCGTTGTTTGTCCTAGCGGCATCCTTGTCAGGAATACACCATGACTTTGAACACGAGCTGCTTCACTTCGTACCCGGCTGCTGCTGAAAGCTGTGACGAGTTGTATATCGTGCAGGAGAAGGCTGCGGACTCGGATTTCAGAATCTTTGGGGTCTGACGGGCGTGATGCGCTTTTGGTCTGGGGTTTTGGCGATTCAATGGGTTGATAAGTTAATATTCGGAAGGAAAGACCAAGAAGAGAGAGAGAGAGAGAGAGAGAGTCAGAGCAGTAAGAGCAAGCGGTCGGGCCCCGGGAAGAAGGAGAATGAGAGCGCACGGGAAGGTGATGGCCTGGATCTCCAAGATGTGAAGAGCTTTCAGATACCTTGACCTTGTCAGCAAGTTGCAACTGCGTGCCTCCAAACCCCATGTCGGGACTGGCTTTAACTATGAAAAAGTTGGTGCTTTTCCGATGCCGTGTTTGTGATAACTATGTGTTTTCGGGGAGGGAGGTAGTTTGAAGGGGATCCTGCTGTTTACTCTCCAGATGTGCCCACGTTCGGAGATGTATCTATACATATGTATGTGGGGTCCCTTCAGTTGCTTGCTTTCGAATCGCAGGCGCAGGTCTTCACAGCAGATGTGGAATCCTTCACGCTCCTCATCGAAGCTTGGCACCCGCCCGCCAGATGGGAGTGCCCTCGAAGTGCTCCAGGAGGGCAAAGACGGTAGAGGTATTCGCAAAATAAGAGTCCTTGTTTCTTTCATCCCAGCATTTGAGGCCACCCGAAGGCTTGGGATACAACCAGTGCATGTCCAGGATCGGTACGTCATAGTTGCTGGTGCCTGGACTATGCTCGGTTCTGCATGTAACCGGCATCAAGCTTCCAGTAGACGCCCTCAGATAAACTTTCAGTCGCGTCACCAGCCACGCGTGTGCCGGCTTCCCCCAAGACTGCACCACAATGCACAATCGCGGCTACTAGATTCCTGAGTAGTAATTAACCCCATTGCGCTTTTTTGTTCAGGGCCCCCTTATTCAACCCGAAAGCATCGACGTTAAGCCTATTGGAGCCTAAAGCTCTACACGCTATGCCGCTATGCTTAAACCCCGCCTAAATTCCATAAATCTCGGAATCTCAGGACCATTCTGTCACTTCACCGAAATCTGGACTGGCCACGACATCGAGAGACATGCAGGTAGGCCTGCTCACGAGGGATTCGTAGACAGGAGTGTGTATGGATATTGCAGCAGGTTGTGCAACAGCCGTGGGATTTCGGATTCGGTATGCTTCTTTGGTGCATACGGTTTGCAAAGCAGAAATATCCTTGGACTTTGAAATGCTGGGATGCTATAATGCGGAACAACCCACGCTTTACAAAACAACACCAAACACAGAAAGATACGCCGACCTTACGCCTGGGTCCCTTTCCGCCTCACATTCTGAGCAGAGCAGTTGATCTTTGTCCTGCGGCTTGCTTTTCAGATGCGCAGGGGCCTTTGCAAGTGAATGGGGTGCTGTTGTGCACTGTACTGTGCTATAGGTGTAACAGTCATGCACCAATGGGCCTTCATGAATAGAATCGAGACGTGGGGTGCATCTATCGAATCCTTTTCGTATCGAACTATTGATTTTAACACTACGATGGATAATCCGATTCTTGATGTTATTGTGTTTACTTTGAGAGCCATACACTCCCAGAGCCTCGAAAACTGCTCCGGCTCGGACCCCGGCTTCTTCCTGCAGGAAGAGACGTGGAAGTAAGGCTAAAGGGTTTGCAGGTGTGGGTTAGGGTCTCCATGGACCAGGAGGAATAGCAAAGGAGTTCTACAAGGACCCGTTTCCTACTCCAAACAGGCCCTAGCCTAACCCTGAACCCCAAGCCCGAACCCCTGAACCCTATCCTCGAACGAAACTCACCCCGAACCCCAAAAGCCTAAAGCCTAACAACCCCCCGAGACAGGGAAAGGACGGAAGATGGAAACCCACATGGGTAGGACGCTAAGCCAGGGTCCCTTCTGGAGATCCCCGAAAGAGCGCGAAATCCCTCACATCCGAGGGTCTGCTTTTCGTCGGGCCAAACGGGAACGATGGCAGTGAAGCAACGGCACTGAAGGCGACGTGGTGGGCTTTGTTCGGTCTTGAACAGTGGTCTCAGGGATCCAGGTGGCAAAAACCCAAACGCGACAGCGAAGAAGCAACAGAATCCAAATCCACTACAAGTCGCGAACCTTTTAGGGAGCTAAATGTCAACCCAAAGCCCCATTCCCATCCAAGGCGCCCTAGCTTGCAGATCATAGGAAGCCCCGCATGCGGCAGATTTTTGCACGGGGATTTCGTCTGCACTCGCAAACTGGGTCTGAGCCCCCAGACCCTGAACCCTATTACAGGGTATCTCAATAATTGGAATAGGGTTTCGGGGCATGTTCCACTATAGGTATGTTAAGAATCATACACCTTAAGCCCGACACCCTTGCCCGCCCAAGTTGCTTCGAGGACGAACTTTGCAGCAGTGCCAGCGATGCAGTTGATGCGCCTCGCAACGGCCGGACCACGAACAAGGCTGCTGGGATATTTAATGTTTCGCACTCCGCGGGTTTATCCCTTCATACGTCCATCCTTATCAAAGCCTGGTAAGCTAATAGGGCCAACAACTGTCTTCTTTCTGGCGCCGTACAGTGCACCTACAAAATTAGCTACGGTTGGGCACAAGGGTGTGGGCTTCGAGAGGGCCTAACCTGACAAAGCACTCAGAGGTTTATCCTTTACCTGCCCCTAGCGATATAGAGTGCTTCTCAAGAACTAGGGGCACCTTATTTAGGTGCCCTTCTGATGAGCCTTCGGCCTAGGGTTTAGGGAGTTTAGGGTTTATGAATGCATAAGTTGCGGTTTTTTTTTTTACTTCGGGACCCCCATCCAATCCCCAAGCCCTGAACGCGAAATCCTCAGTTCCCAACCTCCAGCAGTGGGCCGGAGCCTCGCACAATCTCGCACAAACAAGGCTTAAAATCGACGTTGTTGAAACCGATAATCTCGAGCTGATTCCCAGAGAGCCCAATGATCCGCGAATATACCTTAAATCTTAATATTAAGTCCCCTATATTCTAAGGTATGTTTCCTAGTTAAGGGGTATTGGGCTCTCTGGGTCAAGAGGTTTAGAACCTGCGGTCTGGGTTGAGGCTCGAGGGATTTGGATTTGGAGTTTAGGGTCTACTTAAAGGATCATGGGACTTAGTAACTTGGGTTATAAATAAGGTAACTATATTGATAATTACTTATAGCCCCAATTAAGGTACTTACAACTAAGGGTGGCAAAAACAACCTTAGATACTAAGTCCCATGATCCTCCAAGTAGTGCTTGGAGTTCAGTGTTTGCCGTTCCGTGCTGGCTCAGCGGTGGACGCGGCTCTATCACCATTCGTTTGCATGGAGGCTTCCGCATGCTCCCCTGGAAGGATTTTTTAAAAAGCATCCAAAAGACGCAAAACCTGATCACCAAAACTCCAAATTCTTTAAACGAGCCCTTTATAACGGAAAGCCCCATAGCTCTTTTGAAGACTTTCAAGCCCTAAACCACCTAAGTTTTATGGAGCCTTCCAAAAGGCCCCGTGCTACTTGAAGCCGAGCTCGGCGGGCGGCTTGGACTTCTTCGCCGTCGGCACACTACTGCAGGACTGGGTCGGCTCTCTTTTGGGGTTCCTTACTTAGAGGATCATGGGACTTAGTAAGTAGGTTTGAATGGGGGTTATAAGTCCCCTAAGTGGGTTATCTTAATTATAACCTACTTATAAGCTTACTTGCTAAGTCCCATGAGCCTTGAAATGGAGCTCTGTAGGGTAAAGGGTCTGTGGTTTGGAGGTTTGAGTTTAGGTAGGTGGAGCTCTATAGGGTTAAGGGTTTAGGGTTTAAGCTTTAGGGTTTTGGGTTTAGGGGTTTAGGGTTTCTGGACAACGAGGCCTGCTGCAAAAAAAAGGGTTTAAGATTTCCTTTGCGGGTTTAAGGTTTTAGAGGTTTCGGCTTGGCTTTCCTTAGTGCTTGGATTTAGGGTTGAGAGGTTTGAGCGTCGGTTTCCGCGGTGCTCGGGTTTAGGGTGCAAAGGTTTGAGTTTAGGGTTCCTTAGTGCTCTAAAGGTTTGTGGGTTTAGGGCTTAGAGGTTTGAGTTTAGGGTTCCCTAGGGCTACATAGGGTTTAGGTTTTAGACTTTAGGGCAAGACTAAGGGTTCAGGGTTTAGTAGAAGCGTGAGTTTAGGGATCTGGGGAGAGACCTTAAACACTGCTGCGGCTGTGTGAGACTATTCAGAGGAGGGAGGGAGATAGAGAGAAAGACACGGAGAGGGAGACACGTTGCCGATTAAGGTTGAAGCCTTGAACCTTCGATGTGGCTCCCCAAAGACGGAGTGCTGGAACGTGAAACACCGTCTCTGTGAGCTTACTCACGGAACTTGCGATTGGACGAATCGGGGGCCAGAGAACTGAACCAACCGGGACTTGACCTTGACATGGGCGGGAGTGCAGATGCCTCAGTACGGGATGCCAGAAAGTTTAGGCGTCATGATGAACACTGGAACCGACGCCGTAAACCCTAAACGCTAGCCTGGCAGTGCTCAGCTGTGAGTGTTGAACACTACATCACCAGCTCTTGTCGGGTGGTTTTTCTTTGTCCTTGCTCCCCGCCCCTAAGCATTCTAGCTGATTGTGTCAGTGAGACTTCTTGCTGGAATCCGTGCCTGCTTCGTGCGAGTACACGAGTGGAAACCCTTACTATAGGGACCCAAAATCAGTAGAAGTATTAGTAGTAGTTTTATTTTTTGTTTGGGGGGTCTGCTTAGTATAACTATAGTATAATACGCCGCAACACCCTATTCTGTTCATTTTATCTGAAGCCCCTATATCCCCCCAAAGAAAGCCAGGCAACTGGAGTCTCCTTGGAGAGCGAGAGCTATCCAGGCCGGGGGGTTTTCGGGTGCAGGGACGGCTTTGCACAGGGTTCGCTCTGGATTTCTCTGGACTTTACAGTTTTGCGTTTTCAGCCTTACCGGGGCTTGGCTGTAGATCCGGAAAAGTTTACAAGCTGCAACAGACTTCGAACCATAGACCTCATTTGGCTGGTCCGACGGTGAAAGCTCAAACTCTCAGCATGTTTTTTTGGGTTGCGGCTCTAGAGATTGCGTTTCCAGAGAATTTCGAAGAATCCGGTTCGGTTCACCAAGATGGCCTCAACTAAACCAGAAACTCCTTTCTGGAATTCCTTCCCTTCTTCCCCACAAAATAAGAGCCCCGTTAAAGCCCTAGACCCTAATTAACACCTAAACCCTGAGCCCTAAACCCTAAGCCCTAAACCCTTAAGCCCTAAACCCTAAGCCTTGAACCCCAAGCCTCAAACCCTAAGCCCTAGAGCGCTGAGCCCAAAACCCCCTTAAACCCTAAACCCCAGAAGGTATGCCATCGTCAGCCCTATGCACTGCTAAGCACAGGAAGCGGCCATTCAACTCGCTACGAAGGCATCACGGAAGCTTGTCAGCATTAAGGGGCCATCGTTAAGGGGCCTACCCGTAGGCTCCATAGTAGTTGGTTTTTGGGTTTACCTTGTGAGATTCTAAATATGAATCCCCAAAAAGGAACTACTATGGAGCCTCTAGGTATACAGACAATAGTAAACCTGTCCAACCAGGCAAAACAAGTGTATCTAATGCCCATGTGGCATTCTTGAACTACCCACTGCACTGCCAAACCGAGGATAAACTGCAGCAAGAATCTGATAATTTCGCTCCATCCATTCAGGTTTTGACGCAGTGCACTGTATCCATCCGCTTTCTCTCCCCAATATCACCCAATGAGACTGTTTGCCCATCATGCCCTGTGCCCCAGCCGACCTGGGCAAACACGCATGAACCCCTCGAGCACGTAGGAACCAGAATTTGAGTTCGAGTGCAGGGTTCAGGGTTTAGCTAGAGTTTTTGAGGGCGATGTTCACTGAAGCCCCTGCTCAAAAAAAGCTGGGGTTTTGGAGTTGGGGACATTTTGGTTGAAGGTGAGTAATGTAGGAACCTGATGAAAAAAGCCTGGGCCTGCCACCCCAAAATAGTGGGATTGATGCAAGGAAGCCTAATAAAGGCCCAAGGTTTCTTAATCAGGTTCCTTCAGCCAGATAGCCAATTCGAGGTTTTCGGTACACGGTGTCCTTGGCTTGAGTCACAGATTTGTTTAGAATTCCCTAAACCCTAAACCCTAAACCCCTAAACCCCTAAACCCCTAAACCCCTAAACCCTAAACCCCTAAACCCTAAACCCCTAAACCCAAACCCTAAACCCTAACGACAGCGCTGCGGAAGGGCTGGGAACCCAGAGACTCCAATATCCCTTAATTAAGGAATATTCCTTAAATCATATTAGGGATCCCACTATAATTTAAGGTATACTCCTTAGTTAAGGGATATTGGGGTCTATGGGAATATGGGATGTGTGTGTGTGTGTGTGTGTGTCTGTGTGTCTGTGTGTCTGTGTGTCTGTGTGTCTGTGTGTCTGTGTGTCTGTGTGTCTGTGTGTCTGTGTGTCTGTGTGTCTGTGTGTCTGTGTGTCTGTGTGTCTGTGTGTCTGTGTGTCTGTGTGTCTGTGTGTCTGTGTGTCTGTGTGTCTGTGTGTCTGTGTGTCTGTGTGTCTGTGTGTCTGTGTGTGTGTGTGTGTGTGTGTGCGTGTGTGTGCGTGTGTGCGTGTGTGTGTGTGTGTGTGTGTGTGTGTGTGTGTGTGTGCGTGTGGTGTGTGTGTGTGTGTGTGTGTGTGTGTGTGTGTGTGTGTGTGTGTGTGTGTGTGTGTGTGTGTGTGTGTCTGTGTGTGTGTGTGTGTGTGTGTGTGTGTGTGTGTGTGTTTCGAGCACCAGAGAGCCCAACGCGCCTTGATTCGGGAGTGCGCCCTAAGAGAGTATCTACGCATAGACGTTATGCATATACACAGCGATACGTATACATATATATGTATAAATAAATATATATATATATATATATATATACATATAGATAGACAGCGAGATATTCTGATAGGTATGTAGGTAGGTAGATAGATATATGCACACACACACACAATCTGCGGGCTTCCACCGATATGATTACAGTCAGCTTGCTCCTTCAACTTGAAGGGTAAGTTGGGCTCTTCGGAGTGCAGCCCGGCCGAGATCAACCTGAACATCGATTACAGCAACTCCGTGCCGTGGCATGGCCTGCAGGCCAACATCAGCGCCTTGGTGTAGGAGTTAAGGTCCAGGGTTTTTCCGGATTTAGGGTTTGGGCGATGATCCCTGAGGTGGGTAAGAAACTTCCATTCCCTTCATTCGCAAAACCTGTCAGGACTCGAAACCAAATCGCCTGACCCTCGTCCGTCTAGCTCATTGCTTTAGCATAGCCTTGCCAGCTCAAGGCAAAACCAACAACTCTAAACATCCGTTCTAGGTTTGACCGGTGATTCTAGATTAGTCTGCTGCGAGAGCGGCAGCTGGAGGTAACACCTCTGAATCGGAGGCGGATCAAGGATCCCTTATATAAGGACTCTCATTTATGAATATCCCACCTGCCTTCATCCCGTCTTTTGAGGCCTCCGACTGAAAGGGATATGGCCTCCTGTGCACCAACCAATCCCGTAAGAGCCCATGACCCCAGCAAGGCCTGTACAGTGGAAACCGTATGGCCGTATGGTTTTGGACAAAGGCTGTAAACAGTCAGCTTCCAATTTTAAGCCGCCCCTCGTGCCCACGGTCTCACTTCTTTCTGCCTAAGAAGGCAAGGGACTTTGGCCCAGAAAAAAAACAGTCAGCTGATCATGTGACGGTACGGTTCCTGCATCCCGAAGTCCGTTATGTACAAACAACAGCTTCCCTTCAAGCTTTGACGACCCAGAAATTGAGACACTGTAGAGAGACCGGCAGGTCACGAACTCGGGCAACCTTTCTACATGTTGCTATGGTACTTCGTTTCATCCCAGCTGTGTTAACCTTTTCCATGTGTCGCTTGAGCCAGGCTCGAATCCACGGCCCAGGCTTTGTTTGGGGATTTAGGGCTTTAGGGGGTAGTATAGGGTTTTGGGTTCACGGGTTCAAAATCTCCGGCGGGATGCCTTGGAATGCTCGACTACACTGCACTGCAAACCTCAGGTTACAGGGCTTTCCATCCTCTTCCAGCACCTACACTCCAAACCTGCACTTAATGTTAGTTTGAAGGGTTACTTAAAGGATCATGGGACTTAGTAAGGAGGTTATAACGGGGTTATGAGTCCCCTAAGTGGGGTTATCCTAAATATAACCTACTTATAACCTTTCTTACTAAGTCCCAGCCTTTAAGTAGGGTTTAGGGCACCCAAAATTGCGTGCCTGGGTCTTGGCGGTGGCCGGGACTTGGAATTGTCAGGGTGCTAGAAGCGTTTCAAAGCCCTGAACATGCTTGAAGCCTAAAACTATTGCTATTTCCTTGCAAAACCCCTTGTAGAGCCAGTATGAAAGCGACAAAATTATAATCCCTATACTTCACCTTGAACCCTAAACCCGAAACCCCTAAGCCCTAAGCCCTAAACCTTCGTTTCCTAAACCTTCGTTCCTGAGGCTATCTCTACAAGCCCTCGGTAATACCACGCAGCACCTTCAAAACTACGGAGGCGCCTGGCAGGAGTTCAGGTCGATGTGCAGTTTGGGCTTCCATGTTCTACATGTTCTATGTATGTGTGTGTATGTATATATATATACATACACATGTTCTTTCTTTATTGGCTGATGTTTATACTGTTATTCTACATACAAGTAGTAGTAGTAGTAGGAGTAGTAGTAGCAGCAGTAGTAGCTTAGTAGCAGTAGTAGTAGTAGTAGTAGTAGTAGTAGTAGTAGTAGTAGTAGTAGTCGTAGTAGTCGTAGTAGCCGTAGTAGTCGTAGTAGTCGTAGTAGTCGTAGTAGTCGTAGTAGTCGTAGTCGTCGTAGTCGTCGTAGTCGTAGTAGTCGTAGTAGTCGTAGTAGTCGTAGTGGTAACTTAGTAGTAGTAGTGGTAGTAGTAGTAGTAGTAGTAGTAGTAGTAGTAAGTAGTAGTAATTAGTAGTAGCAGTAGTAGCAGTAGTAGTAGTACTAGTAGTAGAAGAGCAGTAGTAGCAGCAGCAGCGGCAGCAGCAGCAGGAGTAGTAGTAGTAGTAGTAGTAGTAGTAGTAGTAGTAGTAGTAGTAGTAGTAGTAGTAGTAGTAGTAGTAGTAGTAGTAGTAGTAGTAGTAGTAGTAGTAGTAGTAGTAGTAGTAGTAGTAGTAGTAGTAGTACGTAGTAGTAGTAGTAGTAGTAGTAGTAGTAAGTAGTAGTAGTAGTAGTAGTAGTAGTAGTAGTAGTAGTAGTAGTAGTAGTAGTAGTAGTTGAAGCCGGTGGCGCTGCCTCTGCAGCACCCCATTCAGCACAGGCGGGAGCAATGCTCACCAATGCAGGCGTCAGAGTTGTCGGCGAGACCGTGCTCAGCAGCCTCGAACGGGGTGACTTTGACGCGATCATGGCGGCGGTCGAGAAGGAGCCGCAGTACAACGGCATTTCGGCCGAGGCTGTCCTTCGCAACATCCCCCGAGGCCTGTGCCTTCACCCTGAAGATCCAGACTGGCTTTCCTGCCGCTACTGCGAGCGCGGCGGTCGGCGCTTGAAGTTCCCAAATGAGTTGGGAGTCACACACCACTTCATGCAATCCCGGCATGACCGATCAGTGCCCGAGCCACCAAGCCCTCCGCCTCGCAACAGCATGTGGTCGCAGCGCCCGGCAGAGCCTGCTAACCCTCCCTCAGCTGCAGCCATCGCAGCGTCAGGCCAGGCTCCACCACCACCAGAACCCACGGCGGACCGTCCGCCCCAGTGGAGACCCACAGCGTCGGTGTCTAAGGCACGCTTTGGGCTCGGCCTCCCTCCCATTCCGCCAGGTCCTACCCCACATGCGCAGGGCCACCGGCCTCTTGCAGTGAAACACGAACAAGGGGTCAATGACCAACAGGCGGACATCAAGGATGAGAAACAGGCCACTGCTGTTCCCACGTTGGGATGGGCAGAAGACACTGTGGGCACGCCAGACACTCCGATGCTGCCGGCGAGTACACCGCAGCCACACAAGTCTGCTGGCTCTGGCCAGACAAGTGATAGGCCTTTCAATGCATTCTCAGCCCAGAATGTGATTCCGACGGCTGCCCCCACCACACCTGTGACCTCCACTCCAGCGCAACAGACTACAGCTCGCCGCCTCTCCACCGAGGAGACCGTCCCGCAGACCCCAGGCCCGGCTGACACTACATCATCCTCCCCTGTGGATGCCCCCTCTACGCGTGCGGAGGTCAAATACCAGGGACCGGTCACTACGACCAAGCTGGTGGAGTACAGTGTCAACCCCTCTCCAGAGCAAGAGGCAAATCAACTGCCAAAGCGAGATCAGATTATCCACATCTGCCAGTCTGACCAGATGCTGGAGTGGGTTCATGCCTTCGCGACCATCTCCATTATGAAGGAGCAGGCCATAGTGGGTGGCCTCACGGCCTCCGAGCAGGTCTACCTCTGGACCAATCGGTTTCGGGCACTGGGCAAGGTGCCATGGATCTTCGCCCCGATCAAGAAGGTCGCCACCGATAAAGATGCCAAATGGCTTGACATCACACAGGCGCGGCTCATGGTCGGGGCCAATGGCCTATTCACACTATCGATTGGCCAAGATGATCGCTACACAGAACTCAAATCTACAACGACCTACTATGGCATAGTGCATGCCCTCTTTCAGAAGATGTGGGATCATCCGGACATGAGCGCACTGCTCGAAACGGATGACAACTTCGAGATCGTGGCCTCCACCTTCAAATGCATCTATGACCAGTCCTCCAGGAAGAGTGGCGGCCAAAATCGCGCCATCTTCTACCAGCCTCGGGATGGTCAAGTTGTCCGCAAGCTCCGTATCGAACACAACAAGGGCGACACGGCCACCTACCAATGGCATCGTCAGCGCGAGCTGCGTGAGCAGCGCGAACAGCGTGACAAGCGCTCTGGTGAAGAGACACAGTCTCACACAGACAAGCGCTACAGGGACGGCGATGCCTGGACCCGAGGAGGGTGGTGGAATCGTGGCTCGGACTCGGGGGCCAGTGGCAGCCGCTCCTGGCACCAGTGAGCTCCAACTTTGATCACCGGTGCCAATGGCAACCTATGCAGTGCAATGCGGAGGCTTTGCCTGCCTTTCCATTTCGTTTCTTCCGGAACGGACTGACGGCCTTTCTGCTGATTGCCGCCGCTGTCAGTGAAAAACATGCCTTAGCCTTCTGCCGGTCGCATTACTGTGCCTCTGCTACTAGTGCTGCACAATCACTATCCTCGTTCAGGTACACACAGCAATCTGAAGCTTGATGCCTGGCAGCCTACAAACTTGCTTCGGCTGACCACTGCCAGTTAGCTGGAAGCCTGTAGGCCGCCAACACCCAAAGGTCTTTGACCTGGGCTGTTCAGCTATAGGGTCTGAGTCAGTTTCACACCATGTGAGTGCACCGCGGCAATCGCCCGCTATGTGCTGAGCCCGCTCGCACAGCGTTCAATTGAAAAAATAGTAGTAGTAGTAGTAGTAGTAGTAGTGGTAGTAGTAGTTGTTGTTGTAGAAGTAGTCGTAGTAGTAGAAGTAGTAGTAGTAGTAGTAGTAGTAGTAGTAGTAGTAGTAGTAGTAGTAGTAGTAGTAGTAGTAGTAGTAGTAGTAGTAGTAGTAGTAGTAGTAGTAGTAGTAATTGTTGTTTCTATTATATGGATGCCGAATGATAGTTTGAATCCCTAAGCCGCCCGAGACCCACAACTTCCCTAAACCGTACTTACAGGCAGTCACAAGGCCGGTTGAGCTTACAACCGTTCGGCAGATGGCCGCCACCTCCAGGTGTAAACCCTTAGGTCTTAGGTTCAGAGGCTTAGGGGCTTCGAGGTAGAGAGCTTAGTGAGTGTCCAGTGCAGGGCTTGTCTAAACCTGTCAGATTGTGTGAGCTGGAGTTCCTAAGTGATCTGAACCTGCGAATGCCAAGAATAAAGAGGCCAACTCCTCACTCCTCAGACAACCATATAAAACCTCATCTCGCAGCCGTGACCGTAACCCTAAGGAAAGAAAGGCCATAATTGAGAAGAGCATACGGCTTGACAAAGCTCCATCATATGTGGTTCGTGGGCTTGGCTGAACTCAAGACAGAGGCCTGGTTTATCAAGCTTTCGCAGGGCCTAAGAAAGTTCCAGGTTTCTCCGCTGTCACCAGACGGCCTACACGTGCTCAAGAAAAGCCTGCATGGCCACTCTGGGGCATTTAGGGGCTCAGAATTTTGAGGTACCCTTTTCGGTGCTTTTGCTACCGCTGCCACAACTGCTGCCCCGCAGGGAGTTCAGGGTTTGGACACTCGGTGCTCGGAAGAAAATTTTTCTGCTTCACGTAGCTGGCGGCCAACCTTGCCGTACAAGGCTTCGGTGGTGAATTCCTTGCACAGCTGACCATGGGCGCAGTCATGCTGCAGCTGCTTTGAGTAAGCCATCCAAGACCCCTTTAATTTACAGCATCGTTTTGATTTCAATGAGGGCACACCTGATTCCTCTACGTGAGGATCTAGGGTCGGGTCGAAGAAGCTGGAGGGTCTAGGAGATGCACC